ACAGCCCTAGTTTAAACCATGGCAGAAAGTTATGTTATTTCATAATCTGTTACATCTTCCCTTGTACCTTGTCTTTATTGGAGAAGGGGAGTACAAACACACAGATAATCAGATAATCAAAACTTCATATAGACTTTTCAGTTGTGCATTAAATTGGAAAAAAGCATTCTACAATAAGTGCTCAGTCCTTCAGATCTTACTTACGTGAGTAACCAGTGAAGACATCAACTCGGTCAGCTACTCACATGAGTAAAAGCTGTAGGGTCAGGCCATAATTTTGAGAATTATAAGTCTGTGTTGTTACTATCCAAACAGCTATTAGTAATTGACTTTATATTATTGAAAAAGTGTTTCATGTAAATTGACACCTGTATTTGTAGCTCATCAAGTATTCCAGAGGTTTGCAAAGGCATGTTAACAAATAACAATACTACTTTATTTATTCAGAAATCTTCAGAGTCTGGATTCAGATATGCCTAAACCTGCTAATAAATAGATGACAGTTGTTACATAACACTGCTCATGGTTACCAATGAACTGTTTGCAGTTGTGAGTCACATTTAAAAAAAGAACCAATATTTAGAAACCAACTCAGCATGCAGTTAGTATTTGGTTATTTGCATGCTATCAAATGTTGCTCAGTTTTATTACTGAAGATAACTATTCCTTCCCAGACAGCTTTTTCAAGTATATTATGAGTCTCTATTTCAGCATAGTCTCTGTTGGATTTTGGTATCTTTATTTTTTACCAAGTGACAGAAAGAGAGAAACTGTGCCCAACAAAATAGTACCAGAAGCAGCTGCCATTTTTGGAAGCATAGTAGTAGCTACTCTGTTCTGTATTCCCCAGAAAAGTGGTTAACCATCAAAACAACTTCATATGATACTAAGGGGCTCTGTTTAACTGAACAAAGAACAGAGAAAATCCAACTTGATGTTTCCACCCAAAAGATTTTCTTTACTGGTGGTGGGAGTAACGTGTCAAGACTAACAGTTGGATGTAATTTGGTTTGTGCAATGCTATGATTGGATATGATCAGAACTCTGATTAATAATTTCATAAATACTTATTTTATATAATGAAATATGAAAGATTATGAATTCAGTATGTGTTAGTCTTATTACATTTAACTTTACCCCAAAAATAATGTTTAAAGAATTTTAAGTTTGACAAGTCAGGCATTCAGAAAAAAGCAAATGACAGAGTTAAGGTCATCTATGCACCAGTAATTTGATCCCTTTGTTTGTACTTATTATGATGTTGACTTCAGTTGTATGACCATATACTATTTTCCATAATCTCCCTGCACCTTCTTGAGTGCATGGGATGGAAAGTGCCTGTAGAATGAGCAACTCTGCTGTATTTTGTTTTTATTGTCAATCATTCAGATGTCATCATGCATTATAAGCTTCACTCCATCCAAACCCCATACTAGTTAAAGAATTATTTCATTCATGGTTTTTTCCTGTGGCGTTTTGATTGTAATCTCTTAAATCTTAATAAATATTAGTGAAAGTATCTTAGCACTCCTGGTGCGTGACGAGGCATTATCCCCATTTTATGCATGGGGAACAAAGGCATAGAGATTAAATACAAAAATTAAAGTCTTGGGCCTCTGTGTGTGTGTAATATAACACCCACAAACATGTATGCACATATGTACACTTGATATACTCAGAGCGGAGAAGCCTCATTTGGAGATGTGAGTGTTCAGCACTTCTAAGCATCAGACCCCAGGCATTGCAAGTTGAATGTTAAAAAAACAGAAACATGGGATGGTCACCTCTGAAAGCTTCTCTTTATGTAACTTACCCAGTAATGCTTTTGAGCAGAAATTAGAATCGAGTTTGCCAGTCATTAATTGCCATAAACATGATACAACCCTTTCACTTCAAACAGCTCAGTGCCATATTCACCACACACTTTCTCCTTTCTGTAGATAATGAACAGGGATCTTTCAGTGGCTTCATTTACTGAATCTCTATGATTCATTCCAGTCCATCCTTTACACTGTCATTTGGAAAAGGTAGTATTTGATCATGAGGGGTTTTTTCCCCCAAAGAGAAGGCCAGTGTTGAAAGAAAGCCCTCTTAATTTATAACTGTGATAATGGATGTTCCACGCCATTCTTTTTTTTGGTACTGAGTTTGTAAAACTTCCTTGTATTCTTTTATATATCTCATAATCTGTTCTCATGGGACAATTTTAGCTCTAAGCCAAATTGTCTTCTCAAACAAGGCACCAATTTGTGGTTTTTCCCTTTTAATCCATTTTTTAAAATGTCAATATTTTCTCATTCCGTAGCAACATTTCACAATTTGCCATTAAAAATGTGGTATGTTTTTCCTCAAGGCTTTCATTTTTGATAATAATGCAAATATCTCCTAAAATTCAGTAATGACACAGGCAATCTTCCTGTAACCTAAAATTAGAATAAATTGGAATAATCTTATTTTTTTATGCATATCTGAGTTTACTTGCTACTAAATAATTTTTAACTTGGGAAAACAACTTATTTTTTTTCAAACCTTGTTCTAGGACATAGCTGAACAATTTTACCTGAAATGTCTGTATTTCCTAAAATCCCCTGAAACTTTCAAAAAAAGCTTCCTTAGACAAACTAATTTTTATATTGTGAAATCTATTTTCATACCCTTTCATACTTCCCAATTTTGCCATTCAATTATCCTGTATAGTGTAAGAAGTGTTCATTTTTCAGCTGTCTTATGATCTATTTCACTGGATGCCAGAAAAACTACCCCCTTCAAGAAGATGACCACTCAAGTGGATTAAGTAGACAGATAACTTTTGGCAGCTTATCCCCATAGTGCACCCTGTGTGTTTGTGTGTGCACATGTGCACACTCACGCATGTGCATGTGCCTGCTGTTATTGCTAGGTTGAGAGAGGAATGTGGTGAATCCAGTTAACTGTATGTATTTCCCTGCATGTCATTAGTATCTTGATGTACCTACCAAACAAAAAAAGACTAGAAAGTAGAGAATATTCAGCCTCTTTTTTTAATGTCTCCATGCTGTCCCAGTCTCTGAACTCATTCTGGGATTCAGTGTCCAGCTTCTCTGAAGCTTGAAGTTGAGGTGTTTGCAAGCAATACACTGCATAGCTGGTTTTGATTTTTCTTTTTAGTGTTATCAGCCCAATTCAGTTTACTTGATTGCCTCAAGGGAGGGCATTGGGCTAAAACCATTGTGATGTGATATTTATCTTTTCACAATAGTAAATAAATATTTTACTGTTTTGAAATGCTATTTTGATGGTTTTATTGATATCAAGACTGAATTACTTATAATCAGTCTTGTGAATGTATGTATATTTTGAGATGTTTTTGTTTAAAAAGAATTGTCAAGCAGAATTATTTAACAGTAGTGAATTTGTCACAATAATTCACTTTCTTCTTAACCTATCAAGAGACTGATTCTTTTTTTTAAGGGAGCTGAGCACCTGCATCTCCCACTGTTGTCAACTGGATCTCTTCAGGCTCAAAACATCTGAAAATCAATCCCTAAACATGTTAATTTCACTTACGGGAATATGAGTTTAGGAGCTTTGATGCCCCTAGCCAAAGTCACCATAGGAAGCAAATGGTACTCCAAATTCACTGCAGCCCCCTGCATTTCAAGGAGATGTATTCCTGTGTAAGGGCAAGGTGATTTTCACACTGCTGATCTTTTACAGAGCTTTTACCAGTTTAAGTTACTCTTAGGATCCTTGGGAGTTCAGGGGATATTACTGAACTGGCACATCCTTGACTGTCCCAGCCCAGCAGCAGTATGTGCCTTCTGCTTCTGGAAGCTTTCTTTTGAGCTTTCTACCAGTAGGAGGTAGAACTAGGTGAAACTAGTCTAGTTTCTTAAAGATGAGGGAATTTGTAATACTTCCCATTATTGTACATGAAAGTCCTGACAATTCAATTCAGATAACTGATTTTTATTTATTTATTTATTGCTATCAAAAATGAAAAGTATTGGTAAAATTTGCACCTTGGTACCTTTGAAGATTCAGATTCTAGAACATAAAATCCCCTTTTACTTTGGCTAAGAAACAAAAATGAATATGGATGTTTGTGCACATCACAAAACTATCATGATATCTGTCATTGGGTGCATCTACACAAGAAGCTGACTGCACAATAGCCCGATACTACTGCACAGTAGCGTCACATAGCAAAAACTGTGACACAATGCTACTGCACAGTCAGTCACAAAAAATACATTGGGTGCTACTGTGCAGTAACTCAGGTTAATGCGCATTTATTTAGCACTTGTTTATACAAGTGCTAAATAAATGCACAGTAATGGGTGCACAGTAGCGTCTCATGTAGACGTGCCCACTGATGCCATAAATCTGATGCTTAGTTAAATTCACAGCTGACACAAGGGCTAAATTCAGATGGCACCCTGCTAGCTGTGGAAAAATTGAACAAAGAAGTTCCTCCATGACCATTGCATCTACACAAGACTGGGTGCTGACACTATACTATGGCCTCACCTTTACATGCCTTCTCTTATAGGCTTTGCCTTCAATTTTTTACATATAAGAATAAAGAGTAAACTTTATTTATGCTTGTACTATATGGGATTACCTACATGAATTAGAACAATTTGGGTAAGTAAAGTTTTACATTAGCTCACATGATTTGCAGCGTCAGCTGAGAAGACAGTATTTCCCACTTTTCAGTGTTCAGTACACAGGAAAGATATTAATGAAGTACATCACTTCCTTGTGCATCTCACTTGCCCTTTGTATTAGAAAGCTCCATGAAAAAGTGTGCTGAGCCTTATTGGACTTTTCAGCACTACAAATATATTCACTGACAGAATCAAGTATTATCTAAAATAAAATTATATAAAAAAATAAAGACTTCCGTATGGCTCTGCATATGTATAACTTTCAGGCATTCATATTATTACACAGAGTATTTATATTATTACACAACTGCGCTGGTCTAAATTATATGCTTGCTTTAATTTATTTTGCAGAAAACCTATGTATTGCGTGACTTGGATGTGGTAGATCTAAATGGAAGTAAGAAAAAGCGTACTTGCTGCAAACAATGAAATTTCACCTGCACTTCTCTGGCTTACTTCAGAATATATTAACTACTGTAAGAAAATACAGATGTTAAAATGCATCTAATGGTCTGAAATGCATTATTTAGAGATCCTCTAAATTTAGGTGATCTTGCTGTACAAACCTTGCTATAAAAAGTATTGAAACTTAGCCACTATACTGTATATACATGAATAATATACTTTATAATTTAATTTCTTTCCAGATTTTTAAATTGAAATTAGGTCTCCTTTTGTATGTACAGCCCTTCATTATGTGACAGTTGGATTGTTCTTGTATAAGGAGAGTACATTATTGGTTTTTAGTGTATAATCCTCCTCTAACTGAAGTTAATGTTTACTCATAGCTTTTTTCTTTCTTTCTTTCTTTCCCGCCTCATCAGACTCTTGATACAGTGAACACCATAAGAAGGACCCCTACTAACTTAAGAGACCACTTTAGAATATTCCCAAGGCTTCCAATATAATTTGATTTGAGCCTAGGTTGTATACCACCTCATTAGATGACTAGTTTTTTAGGTGGTCACTAAACTTACTTTCTTGGATGGTTTTGATTTTAGTTTTTTCCAGTTTAAAGAGTTCGTATTGTTCTGTAATGCCAATGAGCAGTAAAGCAGAACAGAAGTAACTGTGAGGGCTGAGCAAGAAAAGAAAAAGCACAGAGTCCAGCAAGTTTACACTACTGGTGTTTTTATATCCATTTTGTATACTGATGTAAATTATACCAGGATCTGGAGCAGACAGAGATAAATTTTCCCAAAGAGCTGCATGCAATAGAGGGCAATTATAGGCTGTTTACTTTGAACAAGAAGCTACTTTAGATTAAACTGAACAGACAACACCTATGTAATTTACACTAGAGTAATTTTAACCCTGATTTCTGTCATGGCAGAATTATCCCAGTGGGGGAGATTAATCTGTCTGCTCCTTTTTTATACCAGTTTAAAGATTTATTATGTGAGTTTAAACGTGTCATTTGTCAAGGCCCATATATAATATGTATATGTTACACCAACTTACTTTAAAATGAAGAGAAAAAGAGACGTTAATAATTACATATTCTTATATAAATGTAATGCTAAATACTATGTGTAGTATAGCCACCAGCTGCTTGTTCATTTCAGTTGTATTAAAACGTGGGACTGCTAATGTGTAAAATTAAATGAAGTCTTCATCACATTTCATATGAAAACCTACTCAAATTTCTACATCAAAACAGGGAAATCTATTCAGTAATCAATACCTAATTGATAAGAGCAGCAGGGCCAGCACCACCTGCCTGCTACATGCCGCCAGCAGCCTGTGATTTGTCTGCAGGTGCTGTGGGGCATAGCCTCTGCTGTGCGGCTGCCAGTCCCATGCTGTGCCCTTATGCCAGGCACTGCTGGTAGCTGCCCAGGGCCGGCAACACTGGGACAGCTGTGTGGGGCCCCAAAGAGCTGATATGGGACCCAGCATGGCCTCATCCTCAACATCCAGGCCTAGCACTATCTGCATACTGATGCCCGTGCCCTCCACCCAGGGCCCCAACTGCAGCCCAGAGAAGGCTGGCGACCTCATGGCGCTCTGGGGCAAGGCAGAGGTACTGTGCCAATTTGAGTGGGGTGGGAGCTCCAACACCCACATTTATGAGGCCCTGTTGGGCGGGTGCAGGAGTGAGGGCATGACCGGTTAGCATGGCAGTGCTACTTAAAGGTTAAGGCTTTGTGGGCACAGTGGGTCACCTTGACCAACTACAATCGTCAGTCTGGCTGTGCCCACAAGACCATGCCCTTTATGTGGCGACTGACCAGTATTTTGGTGCCCTGGGACTCAGGCCACAACCATGCAGTGTATATCAGCACAGGCAGCCTGGCTGAGCCCCCACCCCACCCTGGCCCCTCCAGTGACACATCACTAGAGGGACCCTTGGGCATGCAGCATCCCATCCTGCCCAGCTCCCCAGCTGCAGCCTCTGCCAGCAGCTTGGGGAGCCCTGGCCAGTACCTGCCTCAATAGCTGTGCAGCCCCAGACCCCACCATGAGGAATACCCAGCCATGTCACCATCAGCTGTCAGCAATGCCAGCTCCTCCCTGGTGGGGCCCATAGCCAGGCACCTCCAAGCCACGCCACGTGCGCTGTGGACACCAGGTGCAGCCACACACCTTCGCCTGCTGGTCAGACTGTGTTGAGCCAGTAGCCATGCCAGCCACAGGCACATGGTAAGCCTCGTACTGGGGGGAGGGCTCTCCCCACCCTAGCCCCTGCTCCCCCTCCCTGCCTGGCCCACCTGAACTCTCCTGGCCCTGGGTTACCCCCCACAGCACGCAGAGAGGTGGGACACAGTGCATAACTTTGAGCAGACCATGCCTCCGCAGTTGGGCAGGCACAGGCTTCTCACCCCAAGGAATGTGTCAATACAGGCAGCAGTGTCCTCGGCAGCAGGGGGCAAGGACGTGTAGCGCTGCCACAGGTAGCTCTTCAGGTGGCAGTGGAGGTTGTGGGGCAGCCCAGGCTTGTCCCCCATACTGTCATAGCTCAGGGTCCCAAACCAGGATTGCAGGTGTACCTGGGGCACCATGAGGATCAGGAGCAGCAGGGCGTAGTGAGTTGGTCACCTCTCAGTCTGCACAAACAGCATGCAGCAGGGGCACACACAACAGGGGGCTGACTCTGGGACACCTTCCCAGAGAGGACGGGTGTGGCCAGCTCCTTGTCCCAGTTATCCGGGAGCCCCACACCCCCTAAACCTGGGCACCATCGGGTCTTGGACGCTGTCCTGGGCCTGGTGGTCTCGTTTGTGCCCGCCACTCCCTGGCCTGCATACCTAACCCTGCAGACCTCCTGGCAGATGCCCACTGCCCTGCAGCAGGCCCCCTCCTGAGCCAGAGAGGAAGTCCTCCATCACCTCCAGCTGGCAGGAGCTTCAGGCCCAGCCCCCACCCCAGATCCGCCTCCACCCAACCCCCTGCT